CTTTTCTGTCTATAAACATCCACATTATCATTCTTGATAATATTATTCCATGCTATGCATGTGTCTTGATTTTTTTAACCAAGTTATTGGACTTGTGGGATTTTTCCAGTTTTTCCTTTCTATGAACTTGCTGTTTTGGTTGGCATAGTTGTACACTCATCTTTGTGCCAGGCTGTGCTGAGCACTTTAAATAAGGTAGGTGTCAGTGATCATCCTCATTTTATAGATGAGGAGATTTAAGCACAGAGAAATTAAAATCTTCCCAAGGTCGCAGCTATTAAGTGACTGAGCCAGGATTTGCACCCAGGATTTCCAGCTGGGAGTTCGCTTTCAGCATCTCTTTTTTTCCCCTTTCCTTTAGTGGTGATTGTTCACTCCCCATTCCTTCCCATTATCTTTCTCTTACAAATTGCCTCCCTGTGAGAACTGGTCTGTGACCCACTTCCTTCTCTGACATCTTTTTAATGTCAATAATGCCAACCTCCCGGGGTTGTTGGGAGGAATGAAAGCAGATGACGTATGCGAGTAATATATGATAATATACTGATATATAATATATTGATACATGATAATGCATTTTATAAATTGTAAAGCGTGTGTGAATGTTAACAGGTGCCAGCAAGGGCCTAAGTTCACAGTCAGACATCACCATTCAGCCAAATTTCCCGACGTGTCCAAATCCACAAGGAAATCCTCCAGATTCACACTACCAAGAAAACAAAAAAGCAGTTGCTATCAATTCTGACTCATAGCAATCCCATGTATGTCAGAGTGGAACTGTGCTCCATAGGGTTTTCAGTGGCTGACTTTTTGGAAATAGATCGCCAGGCTTCCTTCCGAGATGCCTCTGGGTGGACTGAAACCTCCAACCTTTTGGTTAGTAGCCGAGCATGTAACCGTCTGCGCCACCCATGAACTCCCTAGATTCACTGAGAGAAAGAAATCAGCTGTTTTGTTACAGAAGTAAAGGGAGGCCTCCCCCCATGCATTTCAGAAGCCCCTCAGTTGCCCCGCCAGAGCTGAAATGGGAAAGTAAGTTTGTTATTATAAGATTTATTAAAACTCTTGATTTCCCTGAGGGAGAATGAATTCATGCTGCAGACCTTCCGGAACATTCCATCTCTGAAAATCTGAGGCATCTTACAAGCTGAGGAAAGGGATGAAACACTGCTCTTCAACATTTCCATTGACACGTTCACCAGAGTAACTCCGCCGGGAGATTAAAAACAAACAAACAAAAAACCCATAGTCGACCCTATAGGACAGAGTAGAACTGCCCCATAAAGTTTCCAAGGAGTGGCTGGTGGATTCGAACTGCCAACCTTTTGGTTAGCAGCCGAGCTCTTAACCACTGTGCCACAAGGCCTCTGCTTAGCAGGTGATTATTTAAACCTGCTTCTTTCATTAGCAGAACCATAAAAAAATTGATATTTAAAAAATATTATGAAAGGTGGAGGATCCCAGGGTTCAATAGATAGGGGCTGCAGAAAGCATAGTGGACCTAACGCTCCTGAGAGGATGGGCTCGTCGGAGACGGCACCAGCAAAATTGGTAGAAACTCACTGGGAACTAAATTAATGACCACAGTCCCATGGAAAATGTGTTAAGCAGTAATTCTAAATCCTCAGAAGTATAGTAACAATTTAGAAATACTCAGGGTTTGCAGGGAGAGCAAAAGAAAGAAAGCAAAAGTCTGCGTGGGTAGATAGCGTGAACATCTGATGTTTGTGAATTAATTTTTTTAGGAGTAATGGCAGGGTCAGGAGCCGTAGTGGTGCAGTGGTTAAGCACTTGACTGTTAACTGAAAGGTCGGTGGTTCAAACCCACCAGCGACTTCGTGGGTGAAAAGACCTAGCAATTAGCTCCCGTAAAGATTACAGCCTAGGAAACCCTACACAGCAGTTCTACTCTGTCCTGTATGGTTGCTATGAATCGGAATTGACTCGAAGACATGCAACAGCAATGACAGAGTGCATCAAGTACTCCACCCCCTCTGACCTTCCTTGTGACCAAGGGTGCATATTTGCATGACTTTATTCTTACCACAATTGGATCCACAATCAACGCCCATGGAAGCAGCAGTCAAGAAATCAAAGGATGCATTGCACTGGGCAAATCTGCTGCAAAAGAACTCTCTAAAGTGTTGAAAAGCAAAGATGTCAGTATGAGGACTAAGGTGTGCCCGACCCAAATCATGATATTTTCAATTGCCTCATATGCATGCAAAAGCTGGACAATGAATAAGGAAGACTGAAGAAGAACTGATGCCTTTGAATTACGGCGTTGGCAAAGAATATTGAATATACCACAGATTGCCAGAAGAAGGAATAAGTCTGTCTTGGAAGACATATAGCCAGAGTGCTCCTTGGAAGCGAGGATGGTGAGAGTTTGTCTCGTGTACTTTGGACATGTTTTCAGGAGGGACCAGTCCCTGGAGAAGGACATCATGCTTGGTAAGGTAGAGGGTCATCAAAAAAGAGGAAGACCCTAAAAGCTTGCAAGGAGCCATCTAAGATGCATCAATTTGTCCCAACCACTTGGATTAAAGAAGAATTAAGAACACCAAAGACACAAGGAAAGTATTGGCCCAAGAGACAGAATGGGCCACATAAACCAGAGACTTCATCAGCCTGAGACCAGAAGAACTAGATGGTGCCCGGCTACCACCAATGAACGTCCT